CACGGAGCTGCTGGAGGAGTTCTGATATTTGATGAACAACCTCCAAATCCACCCCAAAGCCTCCCCTAAAACCCCTCAAATCCCCCCAAAACCCCTCAAATCCCCCCAAACCCCCTCCCCACCCCCCCTGAAGCCCCCTGCCCGCAGATGGTGCCCACGGAGCTGGTGGAGAAGGAGTTCTGGCGCCTGGTGAACAGCATCGAGGAGGACGTGACCGTGGAGTACGGGGCCGACATCCACTCCAAGGAGTTCGGCTCCGGCTTCCCCGTGCGCGACGGCAAACGGCGCCTGTCCCCCGAGGAGGAGGTGCGACATTTGTCACTTTGTCACCTCCCTGGGGGGCATTGTCACCTCCCCTGGGGGTGTCCCTGTCCCCCCTGTCCCCAGGAGGGATGATGTCATTCCCCTGTCCCTGCTGTCCCCTGGGTGACCCTGTCCCCTGTCCCCTTTGTCCCCTGTCCCCTGGGTGACCCTGGGTGACGCTGTCCCGTGTCCCCAGGAGGGGTGATGCTGTCCCCTGGGTGACACTGGGTGTCCCGTTTGTCCCCCGGGTGTCACCGGGTGACGCTGTGTGTCCCCTGTCCCTGCCGTCCCTGTCCCCCGGGTGTCCCTGTCCCCATTGTCCCTGTCCCCTTTGTCCCCGTCCCCTGTGTGACCCCTGTCCCCCGGGTGTCCCCATCCCCCAGGTGACCCTGGGTGACCCTGGGCGTCCCCTGGGTGTCGCTGGGTGACGCTGTGTGTCCCGTTTGTCCCCCGGGTGTCACCGGGTGACGCTGTGTGTCCCCTGTCCCCTGTGTGTCCCTGTCCCCAGGGTGTCCCCAGGGTGTCACTGGGTGTCCCCTGGGTGTCCCCCGGGTGACGCTGTGTGTCCCCTGGGTGTCACTGGGTGACCCTGGGTGTCCCCTGGGTGTCCCCCGGGTGACGCTGTGTGTCCCTGTCCCCCGGGTGTCACTGGGTGTCCCCTGGGTGTCCCCCGGGTGACGCTGTGTGTCCCCAGGGTGTCACTGGGTGTCCCCTGTGTGTCCCCTGGGTGTCCCCCGGGTGACGCTGTGTGTCCCTGTCCCCTGTGTGTCCCTGTCCCCCGGGTGTCACTGGGTGACCCTGGGTGTCCCCTGTGTGTCCCTGTCCCCTGGGTGTCACTGGGTGTCCCGTTTGTCCCCCGGGTGACGCTGTGTGTCCCCTGGGTGTCCCCTAGGTGTCACTGGGTGTCCCCCGGGTGACGCTGTGTGTCCCCTGGGTGTCCCCTGGGTGTCACTGGGTGACCCTGGGTGTCCCCCGGGTGACGCTGTGTGTCCCCTGGGTGTCCCCCGGGTGTCACTGGGTGACCCTGGGTGTCACTGTGTGTCACTGTGTGTCCCGTTTGTCCCCCGGGTGTCCCCGTGTGTCCCCTGGGTGTCCCGTTTGTCCCCTGTGTGTCCCCCGCGTATCCCCGCGTGTCCCCGCGTGTCCCCGCGTATCCCCGCGTATCCCCCGCGTATCCCCCGCGTATCCCCGCGTGTCCCCCGCGTGTCCCCCGCGTGTCCCCCGCGTGTCCCCCGCGTGTCCCCGCGTGTCCCCCGCGTATCCCCGCGTGTCCCCCGTGTGTCCCCGCGTGTCCCCCGCGTGTCCCCGCGTGTCCCCGCGTATCCCCGCGTGTCCCCCGTGTGTCCCCGCGTATCCCCCGCGTGTCCCCCGCGTGTCCCCGCGTATCCCCGCGTATCCCCCGCGTATCCCCGCGTATCCCCCGCGTGTCCCCGTTTGTCCCCGCGTATCCCCGCGTATCCCCCGCGTATCCCCGCGTGTCCCCGCGTGTCCCCGCGTGTCCCCGCGTGTCCCCGCGTATCCCCCGCGTATCCCCGCGTATCCCCCGCGTATCCCCCG